TTTGAGAAGCAACCCAAGTTATTTTCTTGTTAAGTTTGGGCTTTGTTAATTTTCTTATTCTGTTGTTTAAGTTGGTGTTTGTTTTATTTTGTAGGCCATGCCTCTCTGCATAGAAAGAATTGTTGAGGAAGATTAGTAAAACATTGATGTAGTCAAGCAAAAAGATATAGGATATGTCTAAATAATCTTTATTTTTTCTTCTCTATTCTCCATTCAGCTCTTGTTAAAGGATTATCAGTGTCCCCCTCTCTCTTTTGTTTAGTTGCTATTAAAACATTAGGGATAATGTTTAATCTAAGTGTAGGGAAGGGAGTACTCACTTTCTTAATTGTTACATTGCTTGTCTTTGAGTTTATTTTGTGTTTTTTTTAGGAATTAGTTGCACATATTTGTAGATAGTCTAAAAAATTTTGAAAATTTTAAAATCTAAAAAATACTTTGTTTTGGCCTTTTTGTTTATCTATGGTGAATTTTGCTAAGGTTGGATTGATTTAGATTTGAAAGAATTAAGTTTGATTAGGCATCAATCAACCCTTCTTAAAATTGAGTAAATAGGCAAAGAATTAAGCTCAAATAATTAAATATAGCTTGTTCAAAAAGCTTGTAAGAAACTTGAGCTTATATATCATTTTCCTTCAAGAGGGAGTACATTTATTGCAATTTCATCTCTAGAACTTGTCTTAAATCTTTATTGAGACTTATTATGGCCATTTACATACACAAAAATGATTAAGGGCATTTATTTTCTTAGCTAATTTGGCCAAACATCCATCCCATTTAATAAAATCATTTGTTTCACCCATTTAAACCTTGGCCTTAGTAAAAAAAATTAAAAAAAAATTATAAGCCCTTTTGCTAAAATTTACCCACTATTCATCCATTTTTATTTCCATTTACTACTTTGGTAAGTGCTAAGTATTACATCCATGAAAGAAAATGAAAGAATTAAGAGTTAGTTGGGGTTTCAAAAGTGGTTCAAAAGAAAAAGAAAACAAAAGAAGAGAAGACGAAGAAAAAAGAGAAAAGATTGAAAGTTGAAAAAAAAAATGATGATGAATAATACCAAAAAAAAAATCAAGTGAAAAAAAATATGTTGATCTTCATTAATACCTCTTGTAAATAGCAATGTTTGTCCTTCAATTTTCTGCTTCTCATTTAAGATGCGTGGTACTAATTAGAGTATGTAATTTTGTTCCATTGACCAATTTCCTTTCATCACCATACCTTGACATTATAATCTTTGAAAAGTCTTTTTGATCTTTGTGTGCATTGGCATAATTAAATAAAGATTAAGATGAGAAACAAGCATATAATAGATGGTTTGCAATAGATGAAATTGAGTGAAACACTAACCTGTAAACACCTTAAGTGTAAAGTACAAGCACTTGATTGATTAGGGATAACTTGTTAAAGACTATCTTTGCTTAATTAATTGCATTGTTACTCTTATTTTTGTAAGGGGAGAAAGGCTTTTAGTTAGACTAAGCTCTTGAAAGTTTGGATTATATGCGACTTTGCAATATTCACAATTTTTTTTGACCATTTTGTATGATGATTTTCTTTCGCTTGAAGACAAGCTAAAGTTCAAGTGAAGGGATTTGATGACTTTCGATATTTTTATGAATTTAATGGAGTTTTTAACATAATTAGAAGTCATTTATTTAACTTTTTTTAGCAAAAATATGATTAAGTGGATGATTATGTGTGAAAATGAGCTTTAAAATATAATTGAAAGTTAATGAACTAATTCTATCATTTATTATAGGTTTTATACATATAGATAGGCCCAATTTATGGGTCCAAAGATGAAAATTTCATAGCTCAAGTCCAAAGAAATAAATATAAAAAAAAGTTTGCACAGGTTATGTTCGTTGCAGTGAAACACGATTTTAGTAAAACACACAATTTTAATCTTTAGCAAACTTTTAAGGCTTGAGAACCTTATTTTCGGTCATTCTTCATCTCCAGCATTTGTAGAATGTCTAGAGAGAGCAAAAGGAGCCAAACAAGGGTTGGAAAAGCTTAGATTTAGTGAAAAATTAAGGGTTTCGCTCAAGATTGCTTCAATTAAACTTTTCTTCTCCTTCTTCTATTTACTTTGCTTTATATATTGCTAATTTTGCTATCATTGGAGCTATGTATGGCTGACATTCTCTTAATCTAAGGTAGCGATGAACTAATTCTTGAATTAGAGCATGTTTGAACTATTTATTTGAGCTTAATATTAGTTTTGTTTACTTAATTTTGTACTTATTTATTTACTTAATGCTTGGCCACTATGAGTGCGAATTTGGAAGTTTAGGTTTTGCCTTAGAAGAGAAAAATCTGAATTAGACTATTAGATTGAGTAATGTGGAATTAGAATTTATTCTAATTTACCAATAGGATAGGAATATACCTATTGGACCCATGTAATCACATTAGAATGAATTTGTGCCTTTTTGCCTCTTGGATAATTATGTTTAGAATAGCATATTAATTCAAAAGAGGGGTGTAGTTAATCAAACGATAGTTATTCCTATTAATACTCTAGATTAACAAATTAATATCAAGTGGATTTATTTGGGCAATTACATGCTCTATGAATTGAAAAAGGGATTAGTCACCTTATGTTGCCTTGACTATTGTGATTGTTGGAATTTTAATTATGGTGCATTTTTATAATTTCAATCTTTATTTGGCAATATCAAATCAAATTTTTCCTTGCTCAACTTAAATGAAAATGTGCATGTTATTATCTAATTACCAATTAACTTAATTCCTCATAAAATCAACCTTAATTTACCACATACTAATTTATAAATCGTATACTTACGGTAAAACATATTTGCGTGCATCAGTTAGTTACGTGGCATATCCTTTAATATTTCTTTTTGGAAAATCTCTCACTAAATGCTTTAATGTGAAAAAGAAAGAGTCGTGATTGATCTCTTTAGGACATAGCATTTAAGTGTTGTAAAATTAAGTTTAACAAAAGAAAATAATTTATACAATTTTAATTTAATTATAGCTCAATTTTTATAAAACTTGTTATAACTCAGTCTTTATAGTTTTAACTCAATTACAATTTAATCTCCAAATTAATTAACCTATTGCAACTTAGTCATTATAGTTTTAGTTATTTAAAACATTAACCCCCTATATTTAAAGAAATAAATTTAATTCTTATAATTTTATTTTTTAAAATATGGGAATTAATATTCCAAATTATTACAATTATAAGGATCAAGTTGTCCCAAGTCAAAATTTATAGATTGGGTTAGAACCAAATAAAAAATAAAAATTAAGTTATAATAAATTAAAATTTAAGGATTAATTTTTAATTAAGTCAACACTGTAACTATCAAATACACACACATGTATATCTTTAAATTTTGATTAAGTCAACACTGTAACTACCAAATACACACACATGTACATATATTCTCTCTACAAGATAAGCTTCCTAACCCACACAAGTCTATTTCATTTAAACCATAACCAAACACCCTATTGAAGCTCCACAATGCTTGTAAATCATCATCAAATTGCCCCGGTATACTTCTAGTCACTTTCAATATGTTTTATTAGAATTAAAAAATTTTCAAAACTAATTAACTCTATCTTAAAATTTAATAAATTGTCAACTTTGTCCTTATTAAATATACAAATGTTAACAACTTATTTTCTCTTTCAAATATTCAATGAAAGGTAAAAAAAGAAATTTGTATTTCAAATTTAATGAGGCAACTTCTAAATAGTATAAAAAAATATCATCTCTATCCTATAAATAAAATCAGAGAGAGCACATAAATGTGCATCAATTTCCTTGACAGAATGAGATGCAAAATGAGCATTGTTAGGATGATGTACAAAAAAAAAAAAAAAAAACTGAAGCTCCATCTCCTTGAGTGGGAGAGCACTACATTGCAACATCCTTGAAAATTTAGAGTCAACAACAATGAAAGTGGCTGATTATGTCCCTTCTATCTCTCTTATCTCTAGTTTGAATCTATAGATGCTAAAAAAATGACTTATGATCAAATCAATAGAACCTCAAGCCAGAATATCAACGGCTAAATAATAGAAAAAATCAAGTAGAATTATCATTAGATCATAATACTCGCACAACATCAATCTTGTAGAGACAAATTTAATGACTCTTCCACTGTTGATGGCCTCAAAACATCCACTGAGGTGTGTTTGGTTAAAGATTTTTGGAGGAAAGGTGAGAAAAATTGCTCCCCATCTCTTGTTTAATTGATATTTAATGAAAGGAGGGGAAAGGGTTCCTCACTTGGTTAAAAAATTGAAAGGGAATGAAGGGGAGAAACTCTGCTTCTCCCCTCCAATTTGGAGATTTTTTGAAAGGGGGGAGAAAAATTATGAATAAATTACTTATTTATTATTTTAAAAATTTTAAACTATCTTTAATATTAAAAAATATGCATTATCCTTCCCCTCTCTCTCATAATTAAATAAATTTTATCACCTTACAAAAATTAATACATAATTTTAATTATCTAAAATTTTAACATTTTTTCATTATATACAGTGATAAAATATAATATTAATGTATTTATTTTTCAAAAAAATGTTATTAATAAAAATTCACATCCTTAAAATGATAAAGTTACCAAAATATAACTATTTTTAATAATAAATCAAAGAAAAAAATAAAAAAAAACTTAAAATTAATAAAAATAAAATTATCAACTTATTATTAATTCCTATCCTCTTCCTTTCCAAACTAAATAAAGGTTCATTAAAATTCTTCCCCTTCCATTCTCTTGAACCAAACACACCCTCATACAAGTTTAAGCAAGCACAATTGTTGTCAATATAATCATTGTTAAGGAATCGTCCATAGGATAATTGCAAGGTTAAGACTTTACTATGTCTCATCAAGAGTCAATATTTTCTTTTTCTTTTTTAACAAAAATCCTTCAAAGTTCAAACTCAATGAACTTGACAAACGTCTTAATAAATAACTGCCTAGCTATAAATTAGTAAACAAAAGCTCACAAATAAGTACATTCGGAATGAAACTGCTTGCCAGATACATGCATCCCCATGAGAAATAGTTTACTAATTTTCAGCAACGTCAGTTGATACAATCCCTTCCAAGTTTCAACTTTTGACTAAAAAGAGACAGAAGAACAGAATCCATATTTTATGAAAAACAACACTACGGTACAAGATGCCATAAAGACCGTTACAGATTCCAGCAGTTGAAATTCAGAAAGGGCTTCAACCTCGCACAAAATCAAAACTGCAATCTAACCTGTGATACAAGATCAGAATATTTCAAGGAGCCAACCCAACTGGACAAAAACCTCAAGGGATCACAGGCTTGTTATCAAAGGCTTCTCTCGCTTCCACCAAGTCAGGACGATATCTCTTTGAAAGAATTTCCACTTGCTCAGAAAATGACTTCTTCCCATGCTCTCCGATATGCTGGACCATTTGATTCCATCGTTTTCGACATACATCACCAGACCTATGCTCAAGCAAATAATCCCAGTCCACGTCCTCCATGCAGCAGGCATCCAATGCATATAAAGCATTAATCAGGCGGTAGTCATCAGTATCAGACCATTCGCCTTCAGCAACCATTCGAGATGTTAATTTGTCATACCACCTCATACAGCAAAGTTGACTGGTTCTAGTTGCCACCTTATCACCAATTGCCTCCCAACATATATTATCCCGCAACATACCATGTTTTGATTTCTTATGGTCCTCTAAAGCCCTCAAGCATAGATCAGCGTTTACTAAATCAAATAATTTTTGATACTCGTCTTGTGACCAAGGTCCTTGTTTTATATTTTCTAATTTTATCCTACGCCATGAATCCTTTACATGAAACCGATGTTTTCCCATTGCATCAGCCAACATTTTCCAGTTAGCACCATGATTTTTATAGAAGTTTCGTACGGTTTCCATCTCTTCAGCACTCCATTTACGACTTTCGCCCCTTTCAAACAAAACGTGACCACGATAATATACACTTTGCCAATGCCGGTGAGGTAAAGCTGATGCAATTTCCTTCCAACAACCTCTAAGCTGAGGATAAGATGAGCAATGGAGAATCATATCCACACCTTGATCACGATCACCCAATCCATGAGAATATACATAGCCGTAAATAGCCTCTTTAATCTTCTCATCGTCTTCTGGTGTAAACCTTTTCCCTTGCACCAAGCCATCATTGAAAACCTCCACTTGATCAGAAAACTTCACTCGTTTATCTTCCTTGCTCTTCTTCTTCTTCTTCTTCATTTTCTTCTCCTTGACTTGATCATCACCTTTGGTAAAACTAGCATGTTCAGCAGCATCCCGCATATTGATTTTTATGGAATGGGGGTCACCTTCATCACTTTCAGCTAAAGCTCGATCACCCCCATTGCTTTTGAACTCATTATCTTCTACTCTTTTTCTTTTTTTGGCTAGCTTCTCCTTCTCCTTCTCCTTCTCCTTCTCCTTCTTTGCCCTTTCTTTCTTCTTAATCTTCTTCCCTTTATCATCATTGTTAGTGACAACAGAATGCATATTAGCATCTATTGTCTTAACTCTGGCTAAAGATGATCCACCTTCATTGCTTTCAAACCCGTTAACCTCTGTTCCGTTGTTTTCACCTCTAGATTTCAGAGCAGAACTTTCTTGCATTCCAGGGATTGAATCATTGCACTGTTTTCTTTTCTTTGTTTTTCTTTCTTGCTTATCATCTAAGGACGGCATTTCATTATCACCAACAATCATACCATTGATTATTTCATTGTTGTCTTTTCCCTTCTTCCTTTTCTTTCTCTTACTTTTATTGTCCTCCTCTCCATTTCTCATAAAAGTGACATCCCCTTCACTGGAACAATCTTGTCCCTTGGCTGTTATACCTGTACAATTTTCCTCAGCAACTTCGTTCAAATTGAACACTTCATCAGTTCTGCATTTGTTCTTTTTATCCTTATGCTTCCGTTTCTTTTCTATATGTGGCTCCATCTTAAGACTATGTCCCCTATCCTTTTCATCATTTGCCGGCACATCCATAAAGTCCTTACTCCTGTTAAACTTGGATCCTTTCTTTCCGACTCTCTCATCCATTGGATTGGTATTATCAATGAACTTGATAAATGTTACTGCACAATGCCAGGCTGAAAACACAGAAAAATGGAGATAAGTTACAATATCAAGTATCAAGTATCAACAAAGGAGATAATAGCTACAAGTTAGCCACTTCAACTCAAAATCCAGCCTCATGAAATATGATAGTCACAAAATATGTAGTCATTGATCACAAAAAAAAAAAAAACCTAGTAAATGAAACAGCAACATTCACCACTTCTCAGAAATCAAGGCTAATTGTCATCAAACAAAAATTCATCAGCTGAATTCAAGATACAACCTAAAAAATAAGAGAAACACGTTCAAAGTTCAAACAAAACATGCCTATACATTAAATTCCATATAATGGAAGATGAATCATTTTCCTGGATGTGAGATCTAAAGAGTTATTATTTCAGATCTAAATTCCATATAATGAACCCAATGACAATACGCTAAAACAAAACAACACAACATAATCAGAGTAGCATCAATATTGAAAATTGAACAATACAAATTTAGGAATGGAAATAAGTCAGGCCTTGGCCAAACTGGCCCAAGCTTGCAAGGTTAGGTTGAAGCCATAGGGCTGAGCCTAGGCACATAGCTTGCATAAGGCTTCTTTCAAACTCAATCTTGGTCTTGGCCTTGTCAAATACTTGGCCCGGCCTGAAGGCTTATTTAAAAGCCTACTTTTTTTAGGTAGGCCTTGAAGGCTTTAAATAGACTTTAAGCCTATCAAAGCCTACTTAAAGATATATTAACTATTAACATGATTTTTTGCAAACAACAAAATATGAAAATTCCATATAATATATTATTCCATGCAACGACAATCCATCTAAGGTAGACAAATATAATAATTTAACAATGAGAACAATCAATGAAAAATAAATCTACAACAATATGCAAGAGTGGCACGAATCAAGTCTTCAATATGATCTCTTTTGCTCTAATGTCCTTTTTTAAACAATGCAAACAGCATATTACTATAATAAACATCCAAAAATGATATTTAGATTATTAAAAAAAAGATATTTAGAATAGCAAACAATATACAATTAACTTTCATCTTCAGAGTTGATCCCAGCCATTAGGTGTTAATAGTTTTTAGTTAAAAATAATGAAAGAGAAATAATAAATGACATCCAAGGGAAAAAAAAAAATCATCTTCTACCATTTAATTATTTCATCTTTAAACATATATATTTTTACTAGAAAAATTATTTTCATTCTCACAAACTTTACTATTAACAAACGGATACAAGGGAACATCTACATAAGATTGTAAGGAAAAAAGGACACAAAGGAATATGTATAAATGCGACAAGCACCAACTTAATTGTAAGATAAAGATCTCAAGATAATTTTGGCTATTTTCAGTAATAACAGCTTGAACCATAACATTTAACTTTGATCATATAACAACTCTGAATCCAAACACTACCAAGAAGCAGTTGTGTGCATGCCAAATGCATAGACACTACAAAGCATGGCATAACAGATGAAATTACTTTTTTTAAAAAAATTAGTCTTTCATGTCAGCAACATGCGCCTGTATTTTATCCCGTTTTTGCATAATTCATAACATTGTAATTGTAACTAATATCTAAATGATGTTACACATGTTGAAAAAATAATAATAAATTTGCATTTCATAGCAGCAGTAACTTTAGCAACCTGTTTCAGAAAAATGAAAGTAAGCAGTCCCAACGAACCAACTAAAACCAGTACAGACAGTAATCAACCAAGAACAAGTATCCAGGTATATAAAAATAGTTGAATCCGATGCTAATGCTATGTTCCTAACAGATTCTCATGAATGAAACACTCACAATTTCTCAACTGCTTCACTTAATTAGTGGAATCCGATGACAATGCTTCCTACTTCTGGCCAATAAATTAGAAGAAGAAGAAGAGAACGAATTTTCTACTTTAGCAACAATCGGGAGTGGATATTTCTTACGGCTGACTTGGTTATATCGATAGGCATAAACCAAACTATTTACATTAATTACAATCTATTAATTGATTTATGGTTTTCCACTAAAAAACAAAAGGAAAAAAAGGAACGCACAACCAGATTGCTCTATTAAAAAACCTGCCGCTTCTACAAAGAACATATCAAATCACATAAGCCAGAGTGTAAGGAAGAGTAAATCGAACCTTGAGCAACGCAAGAGAAGCGGAAAGCAATGAACAGCAACGTGAACCTTATTCTGACCGGCGAGGCCAACAGCAAATGCGAAAAACGTGATCTAAACAGCAACGCGAACAACAAACGCGACCAGCAGCGTGCTCTCAGTTTCGAAGCTTCAGATTGGTATTGGTATGGAGGGAGGGAGGAGGCGCCGACTCGCCGTGCTCTGCTCTCAGCCTCTCAGTTTCGACGACGAAAGCGGTGAAGGAAGGAGGCGCCCAATTGGGTTCTTTGGAGTGCGGAGGAGGAATGAAGAATCCGAAAGAAATTTACGCAGGGTAAATTCATTATTTAAATTTAAATTATAATATAAATAAAAATATATATTAATATATATTATATATTAATTTATTAATTTTTATAATATGTGTGTGTGTGTTAAAAAACTGATTTTAAAGAAAATAAAAAATCATTTTATTTCTTTCATCATATGGATAATGAGCTGGTGCTTTAGTGATAATAGAAAACCACCTTATCTTACAGTAAACTATTTGATAAAAAGATTTAAAGTAAAATGATGGAATAAATATAATTAAGAATTTGCAAGTTCAAAAGCAATTCTTTTTTTTTTTTGAGCCAAAGTTCAAAAGCAATTTTTAGATGGATTAAATTCACTATCAAAACAATCTCATAGTTAGGTGAAAATAGGTTAAATTGAACTAACCTTTGTCAAATAGGTTTGAGTCTGATTTAAAATTTATATAAAGTTTTTTTTTTCATGACTCAAGAGCCTACCTAAAGCCTGACCTAATATGAAAGCCTATTTAAAAGCCTAGCTTTTAAACAGGCTTACATTTTTATTTTAAATTTCTCCAATATACTTTTGGACTATTATAATATACAATATATTACTTAATTTGTTAATTATAATATATAATAATTGAAAAGACTTACTTACTACTATACAGTATAACAATAAAATAATAACATTAAAATTAATATATAAGTCTAATATGATTGAAAATATTTGACCAAAAAAAATGATTGAAAATATAATTATAAATAAAAAAGAATAAATTAATTAAAAATCAAATGGTGAAACTGCTATGTTTGTTATATATTACATTATATGTGCGTGTAAATTGGTCAGTGTGTTGGCTCGTAGCTTAGGCTTTAAAAAAATAAGTTTGGCTTATTTAACTAAATAAACTAAATTAAAAGCTTGAATTGAGCCTATTTAGTAAATATGTTAGATTAAGTTAGTCTTAGTTATAGACGCTTGTTAGGAGTTTAGCCTATTTCCACCCTTGCCCACAACAAATCAAAGAGCAACATGCTGCATCAATAGCTTTTATAGCAAAAAAAAAACAAGCTGATGATGATGCAGTTGGTAGCCACCAAAACTAAAAAAAGATGGGCATTTTTTACACACGAGGTCTCAAGCGTCACAAGCAACCTAAGATGAAAGGTTCTCCACTCAAAACATAAATGAAGAAGACATATTCAGCATCAATTTTGAGGATTATTAATTGGTAGCTGACGAGTAAAAATAGCAAAATGAAAGATAAAAAAATTTTAAAAAAAAAGACAAGAAAGCAAGTCACAGAAATACAGAAAAATAAGAAGAAGACAGAAAAAAAAAAGAAAAACAAGACAAGAAAGCAAGTCATGGGAATAAAAAAAAACAAAATGAGAAAAGCAAAAAAGAAAAGCATAAGCCATGCGTCAAAAAAAAAAAAAAAAGAAAGAAAAGAAAAGTAAAATTACTCAACGAGAGTAATAAAAGTAAACAGAATTATTCAAGCAAAGGTTACTCTAAATTTTTATATAACAGAAGACCACTTGTTTTGTAGGCATCAAGTTTTACCTCTCCCTATCTCTCTCTTTGTAAACCCCTTGTAATGTTTTCCTTTCCTTTTCAGGCTTCACACTCACCCAATCTTCTTTACAAGCATTCTATACCTTTTTCTTGTTTTATATAAATAAAGCCATACTTTCAATTTATGTGTTCTGTTAAAATTTACTGGAAGAATGATCATATTATACACACGCACACACACAAACAGATATACAGACACACACAAACCGACAAGTATTGCAGTTTTCAGGCAAGTCTTTTTTTTTTTTTTGGTAAAATTTCAGGCAAGTCTTTTTATTTTTTTTTTTGGTAATATTCAGGCAAGTCTTTGAACGAATAGGCTTAGCCAATTTAGGTGAAGGCGTTAAGCCTTGCTTGTAAACTTGCCAGCCCGAGTCGTAATAAGCTATCGAAATGGGTTCAGTGCCTGACCTCTCACCCCTATGAATTGGTTTGAATAACTAGTCATGAGGGATATATTAGATTAGGAAAAAAAATTTGACTCCAATAGAAATAGATCTTTTCTGAGCTCAACCTGATAACTCATGAATTAAATGGACTTTTTTTAATAGATTAGGGTTTTTCATTTAACTCATTATTTTTTAAAATTAAAAAAATTAGGAATAAAAAAAATGAAGTATGTTTTCCGGCCCAGGTAAAGGATTTTGTTGCTAGTGTCGTATCATAATATATGCTTAATATAACTTATATACTTAATATACTCTTATTTAATTAAATCAAGAAAAATAAAATTTAATGTGTTAATAATATTAATAATAATAATTTTCTATAGAATAAATAATAAATAAAAGATTTACATGTTTAATTTATAAAAGAAGAAATCACAAGTCAACTACCTTACATTATAAAAGGGGGAAAAACATAATCCTCCCAAGGTAGAAAATGAAGATTCAAAGGCATCATAAGGGCTTGTTTCAAAAAATGATTAGCTTTTAGCCTTCAACATTTTCATCTTTGCGGATGAAACTGAGATCAACAAGCCAATCATAACAGAGTAGATTCTCACATGTTTTAATTTAATTAAAAATAAATATATTAAATATATAAAGTCAAATGTATAAGATTTTTAAATACATCTTTTACTGACTGTGAACTTCATTTACAAGGATACCAATTATCATCTATCTTGTCATGAAAAATTAGGTCATGGTCATCATTCTTATGTTTCCTTGCTACTGTGAAATGCTTTTGCAGTTGTACAATTACTGGGGGCATGTTCCCCCTCAATAAACTATTGAAAGAATGACAAGTAAGGACTTCGTGTAATACCTTAATTTTATTAATTAAAAATTTAATCAAATATTATGATAATAAAAAAAATTTAAACTAATCAAAATAATACCATGATATAAAAGTCTAAAAGAAACTCTCAAATTTATTTCTAATAAGTAAACATGATAGAAAATAATTAATCTAAATTTATAAAGCTACCATAGTTATAACAAAAATTCATCTAATCAATAGATACTTAAAAACTAATCTTGATAGAAAAACATTAAATTAGTTAAAAAAAAAAGGCTACAAAGGTTATAAAAATTTAAGGTTAATATTTTTTTTTTCATAAAGTATATATAGACTTGTGAACGTCATACTCAAATATATATTTCTCTGTAAAAGTCTCAGTACAAAAGTCTTATTATAAAATATTCACTCCATATAAATAAATCATCAATAATTAATAAATAAAGTAACAAATTAATTCCAATGAAAGTTCTAAATCGATAATTGATTATTCTACAAATTAAAACAGGACTCAAGGCTTAAGCTAAGCCTTAAGCTTTCAGATGCTTTCTTTTTTTGCTTTGCTAAGCTTACCTAAAAAATGTTAAAGAAGGGATTAGCATTAATGTCTCAATAACCCAAAATTTAACTACACATGCACAAATTACAACCACACAATTATACAAGTATTCATAAAAATTATTCAGTAATGACATAAAAATTTCATGAGATATAGCTTATAACATGCTAATACGTAATATCGATAATCTCCCTTATTTCTTCATTCATCCTTATTCTACTAACTGGAACCATAGATTTAAATATGATCTGGCCCATGTGTTAGACTGACTAAGTTTCTCCAGTGTTCGAGATATACATAGCTAAAGGTATAGAGCCTAAGCCTAAACTATAGCTCCCCTTCTTGAAAAACCCCAACGGGAGGTGTTACTGTCCCCCATTCTTCCTTTACAAACCTAAGCAGGTAAATATTAAGGAACAGAGATTTGAAAGAGGCTAACCACTATGCACGCAGTAGAGGCAAATCATGTGGTCATTGAATCATACATACATCCATATCATCTCCTTATCAACCCATCCCCAATGCATATATACCACACATATACAGCATTTACATCACATACAATATATCTTATTTGATCAACTTAAATTACAAGCATGCTTTAAAAGAAATAAACTACACTTAAATAATATATAATTTCTAACAATTAAAAAAAAATATTAATTTGTATTCACAAGTATGTTTGAAAAGAAAAAAAAACATTAACAATTATATATAGCTAATATACAAGCACACTTAACATGATTCAAAAACAACATAAGAATTTTCAATAATAAATTTATAGTTATATGCATTCGTTCACACAAAGTTTATATACATATAAAAAAGCCTCAAGTTATCTATTTTTTTAAGTTTATAAGTAATCACATAATAATTGAAAGTATGATCATAAAAAGTCTCAAATAATCTTTAAATTATTTAATTGTAGGACTTTGCCCTCCCTCGTGCTCGTGCTCACGTCCTCCATCCCTCATACTCTCACTACCGTCGCTGGGAGAGAAATAATTTTTGAATGTGTGTTTTTTTTTTTTTTGTGAGTCTAGGGTAGGATATATATATATATATATAATAATAATAATAATAAGTGCGGGCTGTTTTTCTCATCATCTAGTTTGTTCCATTGATATATTGTTAATCACCCACCTACTCTCTCTCTCCCTCTCTCTCTCTCTCCACACCATTTTTATTCTTATTATTTGTTCTTTAAAATTAAACCCTCGTAATTTATTTTATTTTAGTTAAATTTTATTTTCTCAAATAACTATATTATAAATTTTAACTACTGTGAAATAATATCATTCATAGATCTCATAATCATAGATCTCATAATCAATTAATTTTATTTCTTAAATTATCTTATTATTTTTTTAAACTTTAAATCTTCAATAAATGTTTAATAATTTCCTATGCCTTAAAATTTCTTCATATATCTCAAATTGTCTATAATTAATTTAGAGATAAAAATTTAGGATATTACACCTCTCACAAAGGTTAATGCTAAATAGGAGAATAACAATTAGGTTTTAAAGGAATTAATTATCGATAGTTAAGTCCCCGACAATTTTTTTTGAAAAAATAAGTTGAACATATTGGTCCAAATTATTATAAATTTAGAAATTTCAATTGCAAATATATATTTCTTAG